TGTCGAGGTGTTGAAAATAACGATTTGGTGTTGGGATAAAACTCCAGTAATATGCATTACTACACCAAAGGTTCCAAACAGAGCATCACTGTTTCAAGTCTGCGTCTATTATATTGCTCTATTGTTGCTATTCAATTGCTCCAGAATTGTAGCACTGCTCTACTATTGGTATTTCTGCTATTTTATTGATCTACTGTTGCAAATCTATTGCTCCAATGATTTTTATACTATATTACTACTCTATTACTCAACTGTTTCATGTTTGAGTATATTCTCTTATCCACTTCAACCCGAGAGGCTCACACCTATTCACACTTTACTCCAACAAATGAGTCCAACTTCTCAACGAAGCAGAATATATTATTTGGTGAGTAAACATTCAGGTCAAATTCCAACAATGGCATTGCCAAACATTGAAAACCTAATATCTTCTATGGTGAACAGTAGGCGCTCTACTGTTTCAAGTTTCATTCTATTATATTGATCTACTGTTGCTATTCTATTGCTTTACTTTTTCTCATACTATATAACTAATCTATTGTTTTACTGTTCCAAATCTATGTATATTATGTTGCTCTAGTATTGAAGTATTGCTCTTCTATTGGTATTGTTGCTATTTTAGTACTCTACTGTTGCCATTCCATTGCTTCACTGTTTCTTATACCATGCTCAACTGTTCTGTTTGAGTCTGAGTCTGTTTTATCGTCCATAGCAAGCCGTGAGGCACACACCTATTCACATTCCACTCGACCAAATAAGTTCAGCTTCTCAACGAAGCAAATTACCTCATTCAGTGAACAAACTTTCAGGTCAAATTTACAGAGTGAAACTCTGCCAAACACTGAAAACCTAATATATTTCATGGTTGGCAGATACAGAGTATGCGCTCTCCTGTTCAGTTTTTCAACGAAAGAGAATATTTCATTTGGTGAGCAAACTTTCAGGTCAAATTTCAATAGTAAAACTATGCCAAACGCTTAAAACTTAATATCTTCCACGGTTGGCAGATATATGGAATTCGCTCTATGGTTTCAAGTCTGGTTCGGTTGTATTCTCCCATTGTGCTCTATCTGTATCTGTAGAGTAGGGAGGGTGAGTGTAAGTCCACGCACTTAGGCCACATGTGACCCATTGTACATCCTCCCGAGGAGTTGTTTCGGTAGGCAAGCGGTTCGGCGTGGGTGATTTGTTCACTCACTCGAATTGACTGCCGTGTTGGTCGGTGGTTCAAGTCCTAGTCTGAACGATCGATCTTCACTTGCTATCGTCCAACCCGTGTTAAGAATTACACGTTAAAAGGTGAGACCTCGTTAATCCTCAACTCGCACAAGTTTCGACTTCTGAGGGTTGTCGTTCGTAGGGGTGCGACATATGGTTGATGGAAAAACAGATTTTAAACAGGTTTCAAACAGATTTTTTAAACAGACATGCCTATGAGGACAATTCTCTATCTCGTGCGCGTGTTTTTGAGTGGTGTAGGCACTTCAGTGAGGGTCTAGAGAGCAATGATGTCCAAATTGAAATAAAAGGCAATGTTGATCGTTTTTTTCAACATTAACGGTATCGTGATGACTGAATGGGTTCCAGAGGGTCAGACTGTCAATCAGACTTACTATTTGTCAGTTTTGGCAACACTGCGAGAACGAATTCGAAGGAAACGGCCCGAGTTGTAGAAAAACAACTCGTCGATTTTGCACCAGGACAACGTACCTGCCCATAACACGCTATCTGTGAAACGGTATTTTGCCGATAAACGCACCAAAGAAGACTTCCAGTACTGCTTCGATCAATGGAAAAAACGTATGGAAAGGTTTGTGGTCGGGGGAGGGGAGTATATTGAAGGGGAGCATGCGAATGTAGAATACTTTTTATAATAAAACCCTTTCACGTTACCAGTTTCGTTATTTAATAGCCGGACCTCGTAGTATCTACTCAACTTTCATATACCTAAGGTACTTCCTCAAATTATGATAACCTAGATCATCTTATATCAATTCTCCACCAATAATACAATATTGGTTTCTAAAAAAACAAGTTCAGTTATGGTCTTTCAGTGAAATTATTTCATCAATTATTGCTTATAAATGATTTAGCTTCAAACCTTGATTTTCTACGTGTGAAATGCCGAAATCTCCATTAGAGATATGAGTTTCTTCTAAAAGAGATTTGAATATTTTGAACTTCTTTTCTCATTTACATAGCTCATATGATGTTCCTGAATGCGATTCCTGGATGTTCTGCCAGTTTGACCAATATATACCTTAGGACAAGTTCCACAATTTAATTTATATACTCCTGATTTTTCAAATGTGTATATTTTGTCGAGTGAACCCAGTTATAAAAATATAAATCATTTACCGTTTGTCGTTATGTCTCAAAAAAATTTTTGTTTGAGTATTTCTTGTACTGAGATGTTCCACAGGTACTAAGAGACAATTAGATATTTTTCATAGAAATATTAACAGAATTCATGAAAACATTAAATTCACTATTGAAGTAGAAGCAGACAATTCAAACTCAATAAATTTCTTGGACCTGAAAATTGGTATACTAAACAACAAACGTGACTTTTCAATTTATGACAAACCTTCCCAAACGTATATTACCATTCATCACGATTCTACCCATCCGTACCAACAAAACATAGTATCTTATATTAGCATGATTCATAGATTTGTCAATTTTCCCCTTCCAATTGATAATTTCAATAAAGAACTCAATATCATTAGACAAATTGCTGTAAACAACGGCTTCAAAGCTGAATAAATAGATGAATAGATAAAATAGATAAATAGATGAAATACTTTCCAAAAAAATGTACGCTAAAGCAACTCAGAATGTTTTCCTGTTGATAATTCAGATAATAAAAATTATAGTGTAGTATTTTGGACAAACAATAGAAAAAGCAGCTTTATTTTTCAAGAAACAAGATGTGGAAATTGCATATACAACAATTTATACGTTGGGAAAATTATTTAAAAATAATAAAGACAAAATATCCAAATTCGAGAGATGAGGAGTATGTAAATTGAATTGTGGAACTTATCTTAAGGTGAATATTGGTCAAACTGACAAAACATTCATAAATTGAATCCAGTACCATCATATAAGCTACGTAAGTGAGAAAACAAGTTTAACATTTTCAAATTTTTCAGTAGAACATCATATCTTCAACGGAGATTTCGGAATTCTACACATAGAAAAGGTTTGAAGCTAATTTAATTGGAAGCAATGGACTTATAAATTTAAATATTTTACTGAATGACTAATTGGATTTTAATAAATCACCATTCTTAGAAACCGAAATTGTATTATCCATATAGAATTGATAAAATATCCTTTAGGTAATATAAATTTGAGGATGTACCATGGGTATATTAAAGTTGGGTAGATGCTTTAGGTAATTATGATAGAAAAAAAACTGAATAGATATCTCTCACTTATTGATTACATGGTGTATATAAAAATTTAAGTATATAATAGAATTAACTTTTAGTATGTCATTCACTATGGAAAAGCTACTTTGATAGTGAAACATGTCGTGACATGATTTCATTGATTGAATTCATGTAGATTTCTGTAAAAATTATTCGTTTCGTTGTTTCAACTATCAATTTGTACATTGCACGGTGAGAGCCAAGTATTTCCAAAGACGCTTGGTTATCAAAAATTCTTCATATTGAAATATATGAGGTTGATATTTGCCAATCTGTTCACACACAAGCTAATGGCGTAGATTTTTGGAATCTGGTTGCATTTCTTGCCATTTTATTTGTTACTCCTTAAAATGTATCATTTCCATACTCCGGAAGTATAAAATTGGTTTCAGCCTCATGCCGTCTGTTGTAAGTGTTGCACGTGTACATCTTGAAGGAGTAGTTTGCCAAAAGTTCTTATACGGCTTTCATGAATTCAGATAATGATTACGACTGGGATCTTTTCCAACCAATCTTCGTACCAAAACATGGATGGAAAACAAATATTTTGGAAAAGTAGGTAACCTCTATATGGAAAGAATCATGTAAGACCTTTTTGAATAATTTCTCATAATTGAAAGATTCATTTATCAATCCCTGTCATATATATTCTAGGGTTAATGTGACGGAAAACATGAGAGGATTCAAAGACATTTATGTTTGTTTAGGAGCCAGTCATATGTTTACCGGCTCCTAAACACAATGATTTTCACGGTGTGATCAAATAACTGACAAAAGACTTTCACCAAAAACGGAATTGATGGAAGCCGTACAGAAATTCATCAACTTCACATATATAGGTCACATTCCAGAAAATTGAACTATTTATTATGTTCTTGCCCCATTTTTCTGTACAGCGTTTGGATAGGAATGATCCCAGACGCAATTAGTATCTGAATTTATAAAAGAGTGTTTTCAGTCCTTCCGTGGCCAAGAGCTACCTGCATTTGTTCCTTTGACGCAAATAAGAGCATTATTAATATGAGAGGGTTTGAAGGTGGTTAACAATGTTCCATGGAGAATTTCATTAGTTCAGACTAATGTCTAATATGATATAAATTGATCTGAAATCCCTGAAAGGATCGGTAAAAAATTAAAAAGCTTATCTGAAAAATAACAATCTCGTGAACAGTAACCAGAATTGGCCTCATTTCATTTATTTGGTAAATCAAAAAACAGTTATTTGAAAAATATTTGTGAAATCTTGAAGGAGGTTCACCTTGAGTGTATACTTGTTACTAATTATTTATCAATTTCAGACAGAAATTGGCTTCATAATATTAGAAAAACGGAACCAGGTTTCATTACCTATACGTATGTTGAAGGAAAGAAATACCATTTGGAAGAGGATCATGTAGTGAGTATAATTGTTACTGGCGAAGATCAAACCATTTTTAATCTGTCATTTACAGGCTACAAAGTCACAAGCAGATACGTTTTGCAAATATCATAATATGCAACTTATTGCCATTCGTAATCGAAAAGAGTCCGAACTGCTCAGACATTTAGTTGCAGATTCAAGTAAGTATTTTACAAATTCAGATTCATATTCTCTCTCGTTATTTCATCAACTCCTTTACATATAAATTAGAAATGCAATACAATCTACAACAACATATCTGATCAAACTATCCAAAATAGTGCTGAATGTATAAAATAATCTCCATTATCAATCATCAAAACATCCAGAAATTGATAGAAGGGAACCTAAAGCGGAATGTACATATTCAGAATCTCGAAAGTTCATCTCAGTGCGTAATACCCTTACCACGGATAAATAAAAAATCCTATATTATGCTATTTGAAAATCTTCAAAATGATATTGTTGCCTGGGGCTGTATCTGTGAAACTTCTCTCAATCCCTTGAAAAACATTTAGAAAGGAGTTATGAAAATAATATATCCCCCACCACACAATTTTCAGATCACCACTTCTAGGATATTTTCGTTAACTTAACTGACGTGCTATCTTCTGAAACAGAAATACAAGTATTCCACGAGGATTCCAAATATATCATAAAAACTATTAATCCATCAGAAAACTTGCGAATCTTAGACATAGAAACAGAAATTGCAATAATGCTGACAACCCCTGATAGTAACATCAAACATAGAGCAGCTCACATCATTGAAAATAGTATTTCAAATCCACCAAAATACAATTCAAAACAGAAAGCACTAACGCCAATGAAACAGAAAGTCCATACCAACGATATCACGTTCAAAAAAGCTGACAAAAGTAAAAGTCATCTTTTCTAATGACATTCACATCAAAAAAAACTCAAGCGTCATTCCAGAATATTCCTACAAACTCATAGAACAAACTCATAGATACTTATCAGATAGGTACATCTCCAATATTCAACTTTCACGTAATTCCAAATTTGTTTTATTTGATGTCACACATTTATTCCCAAGCGTCACTCCAGACGATTCCGACAAACTCATAGATGAAATGTACTCGAAAATCACACAATCTCTTCAATTCATTCAGATAACCTCACCCTACTATAAACATGAACGGAAATTATTTCAAATTCAATAGCACCATACACAGGGCGTTCCAACGAAAACTTGACCCTCTCTGTAAGTCAGAAACGGACGTGTAATCGAAAATTTCGAAGAACACGTCAATTTTTATTTCTAGTGGGACTAATTCTGATATGGAAATCATACCCGAAACTTCAACCCCCTGCGGTCAGCAACTACCCCCCTATTTTTGTCAATGGCATGGGGGGTCGAGTGATATACAAACTTTGAAAGGTCTTTCGTCTCTCTGTTACTATTTTTTTATTCAAAATTTGTTCATTCGTTATTGAGAAATTAAATGTTAAACGTTTTATTTAATAAATAACAGAAAATTCGCTGACGCTAATTTTATTGCGGAAATCAACAAAAGTAATGTCAATGGCAACACAATCAACGGATAAAGTGTTCAAAATGTCCTCTATCTAGTTCCATACAATAATACAGTATGCTTTCGAGAGCGTTCCTTACATTATTGAAGATGTCCGGAGTCAGAAATCGGCATTCCCGAACAATTCTCTGTCGCAGGTCTTCTAGACTTGTATAATTTATTCAATTAGTAGTGAACATTTTGAAATAGACGACACTGTTAGTTTTTTCTGCACTGGTACTTTTTGTTGAATCTAGTTGTCGCAGAACAAAAAGTAGATAGTTGGCAACTGTCACTTCTTCATGAATTATTATTCAGTCATCCATGTTCACTGTGTTCCAACATAGTTTATTCTACTGAAGGAAGGATAAAAATTGTTTCAACCTATTTTCGAAATAATGAATGTTTTAAAACTGATGCAAGAATTTATAAATCTGAAGCAAATGAACTTTAAACGTTCAAGCCAGTCTCGATATACCTATACAGTAGGTTTAATGAACTGAGCCTACAAAGTCCATCCTTTCAAAATGAGGCTAGTTCAGGAATGAAACGATGATGATCCTGATGATCGTCGACTGCAGTTTTGTGAGGTGTTCAGCGAGAAACTGACCAATAACCCCTATTATACAATACATGTTTTTTAGACGAAAGTTCTTTTATGTTGAATGGTGAAGTGAGTAGACATAATTGTCGTCACTGGAGCGATGTGAATCCTCATTTGGTGATGGACGGCATTATTGGTAATCATATTGTTGGACCATCCTTCATTGAAGGTGATCCCAATAAAGACACATACTTAAAGTAATTACTGGACTGTGTAGATCCTATGATTACACAAATTTTAGAAAAGGATGACAATTTAGTGTAAAATAAAATAACATTCCAGCAGGGTGGTGCTTCTCCACATTTTGATGTTCGGGTGAGACAATTTTTGGATGCGTTGGATCCGCAGAAGGGATACAGTGCTGTGGCAAGCTAGATCACCTGATCTTACATCGATGGACTTCTTTCTGTGGCGACACCCGAGTTTTTAAATGAACTCTGCTAAGCCTAAAAATCTGGAAGACCTGCCACAGAGAATTGTTCGGAAATGCCGATTGCTGACTCCGGGCATGTACAATGTACGGAACGCTTTCGGGAGTAGACTGTATTATTGTATGGAACTAGGTGGAGGTCATTTTGAACAATTTATCCGTTGATTTTGTTTCCGCTGAAATTGTTTGTTGTTGATTTTTTCATTGAAATGAAAGACAGCGAATTTTCTGTTTTTTCTTAAATAAAACATTCAATTTCTCGATAACGAATGAAACAATTAAAAAAAATACACATGTAATAAAGGGACGAAATAACTTTCAAATGATGTATCACTCTCCCCCCCCTCTGCCATTGAAAAAATAGGGGTGTAGTTGCTGACCGCAGGGGGGTGAAGTTTCGGGTATGATTTTCATATCAGAATTAATCCTCCGAGAAATGAAACTTGACGTGTTCTTTGAAATTTTCGATTATATATCCGTTTCTGACTTACAAGGAACGTCAAATTTTCGTTGGAACGCCCTGTATATTAAAATCCAATACATCAGTTTCAATCTGCGAAACAATAAATTCACAATATAACTTGAAACCAGTTATTCTGTAAATTTTTTTGGACCCGATAATGCCAAGAATCATCAACAAACATGGTTTCATAAATTATCACAAAACGACCCATACAAACACAAGTATCAACAACCACCTTACCAGTCAACCATCTTACCAGAGAATGATACACAGACTCATTAGTATCCTTTTGCCAACAGAGAATTTTAATGACAGTAAATAACTTCAATATACCCGCACATGAAAGATACACACTTTTGAAACACTGTATGCAAGAAAATAATCAGAAAACATGAGTAGAATACTAACTGAATAGAACATCAACTTATCATAGAATACTGACAACCCATCAGGTAGACGTATAAAAAACATCGGATCTGATATCGACAAGGACAGCAAATCGGGTGTTTACAAGTTAAAATGTGGCTCGTGTCCCAAATTTATATTGAAAGAACATCTAGAACAGTAAAACCAGAATCTCCGAATACAAAAAAAAAGTTTTGAATAAAAGAAAACGAATTTAATATATGCATGTTGGAAAATAACTACAACTTCCACGTAAACAAAGATGTATTACATACAGAAAATAAAGGACAAAAATTCAACCTGCCGAAATCCCTGGAAATCAATAAACGTAAACAATCAAACTTCCATTCGAACGACAAATAAGAAATGAATTTGTCAACACCGTTCAATTTATTTTCATAAAAAATAAATCGAATCATTGAAATTTACTAGAATTATTCGAATCATTACTGAGAGTTGTACAATGATGTATGAGTTACATCTCCTTGTTATTTCTAGTCTTTGGTAACAACTCCTTGTTATTTCTAGTCTTTGGTTTAGTGTTCTAATATTATCCTTGTTCCTAGTATTATACGAATGGTTGTGACCGTTTGTAGTAAACTTTTGTGAATTTTCTTGAATGTGTATCAAATTGCAGTATATTACACACATGATGGCAGAGTTAATATATTGAACTTGATAAACCAATTCTTACAGCTCTCCATTTGACCTATTCCAGCTAAAGCTCTGATTGCTCTTTTTTGAATTTTAAATATTCTCGAAATATGAACAGATGTGCTCCAGTTTATCAATCCATAAATTGAGGAACTATGAAACATTGCATAATAAGCGGTATGAGCAGCTTCATTACCGACTTTACTTTTCATCTGCCTGATTGCATAGACCTTGCATGATAGATTTTTTGCTAGTTTGTTTCCAAATTAACTTTGAATCAATGATTATACCAAGACATTTCACATTATTTGAGAGATTATGGGACAGTGAGAACATAACTGTTTGTGTCTTGCTTTTATTCACACCTGCTGCCTGCTATACCTGCTGCCTACGTTCATGGATGGTGTTATTGATTTTTACAAAGTTACGGCTCAGTCATTATTTTTCTCACCCTTTGGTGAATCATTATACTGAGATTTTCAGACATAGCAAAACTTCGATACTATGGATTGTCGGATCATTTTTGTGTATGGCTCTCCAGCTTCCTGAAAGAACGTTTCCTACAAGTAGCCATCGATTGATATCTCTCAAATACTTTTACCATCAACGCTGGTGCTCCCAGGGATCTATATTGTCTCCATCCCTTCTATTGTATATCAATGACAAATTGGAAAAACAAAGAATCCAATATATTGCTTTGCTGACGACAGCACTCTTATCTCGTCATTAAATTTGGATTCGAGGACATCAGCTGCGGAGGCACATCTTCACCAGCAGCAGGAGATTGCATATCTTAATGAGGATCTAGAAGTAATTCCGAATTGGGGTGACAGTAAACAGATTCAATTCAATGCCACAAAACTCCAGGCATCGGTTTTCTCCAAAAAGACAAATGTCTCCGAACCAGATATAATAATGTCAGGTTAGACAATTCCACGTTCTGCTTCGATAAGTTTGTTGGTGATTAAAATAGGCACCAATATGTCTTGGCACAATCATGTCGCTGAAATTGCAAAAGCCGCTTCTCAAAAGTTTGAAATACTGTTCTGAACCAGAAAACTGTACATAGTGTATACACCTCAGTAACTTTTGATGCTTTAGAAAGCTCAGATCAGACCTTCATTGGAGTATTTTTCTCATGATAGTCTGGAACATCGAAGAAAGGTTGGATACTTCTATAGATACTTTCATGGGAAGTGTTCAACTGACTTGGCACATTTTCAACGAGAATGCTCTTCACACTGTGTCACATCAAGCTTCCTTTGAAAATTTCAGACAAATGAGTTGAGTTATCAAAATATCTTTCGTATAAAAGTCTCAGCTAATAATCTCTTCAAAACATCTGTTTGAAATCTGTTTTTCCGTTAACCAGCTGTCGCCCCTTATGAAAGACAACTCTCAAAAGTCGAAACTTGTGCGAGCTGATGATTAAAGAGGTCTCACCTTCTAACGTATGATTCCTAACATGTGTTGGACGATAGAAAGTGAAAATCGATCGTTACGCCTCGCGACTTGAAACACCGATTCATAAAGCGGTCGATTGCGTGTGTACAGCAAACCACCCACGTCAACCCGACCGGCTACCATCCTACCTGCATGCATTGGATTCTTCATAATATTCTTTAATATAGAGAGTACCTAGAAATAGCGTGGCGGATCACAATTAAGTTTTTTGAATATATTGCTTTCCAAATTCTGCCAGAAAAGTACGTTGAAGAAATATAGTTTCGTATGGGCATACAAGAACTTGATCATTCTATTTGAAATATTATAGTAATCAAGAAACTACAGAGCATCCTTCATAACCAAATTTCAACTGATTCATTTCACAATTTTTACTTTAATAACTATTACTTATTCCAAAATGTTTGTACTTTTAAAATGTTCTTATTAATGTTTTTTCTTTTTTTTAGTACTCTGTTATTCCCATATATATTTTTTAAGCGTATTGCTTTTTTCGTGGTGTTCTTGTATTGGACTGAATATTTATCAGGTACTTAAGTAATGTACTTTCATCTCGAAACAGGTGTTTGCTCACTTATCGAGTATGTATCATCTATGCAAAAAAAATATTTACTGTATGAATGTTCTCATTATTGTGGTTGCTTTTTGTACTACACTGTCATTTCCTTATATATATATTTTTAAGTGTGATGCTTTTTTTTCGTAATGTTCATGTATTAGATTGAATATATATTTTTTTATGTAGTTAAGTGAGGTCATTTTATCTATAAACAAGTGTTTGCTCACTTATCGAGTAGGTACCATTTATGCAAAAAAAATGTATTTGCTCTATTCATTCTCTCTCTCTTTTCATTAATAAAAGATATTGTTTTCAATCAATTACTGAATTGTCTTTAACAGAACTATTTGCTAAAAGTTTTTGGTTTTCTTTCTTCTTAGGGGAAGATGAAATCACCTTTAATTTGTAGCTTTGTTCTTTTTAGGACAGTTCAGTGGTTCAACCTAGGATCACTGATGGGACCTGGTGGGTTGAAACAGCGATGTTCCGTGTTAGATATAAAATTCATCACTTTTTCAAATAATGAAGATTGAATGTGATTCTATAAGTGAGAATTCAACTAAACTTAGAAATATTGGAATAGAAAACCCTGATAACATAATAAAAATATATATTTGTTCTGAATGAATTGAAATAAATGGAAATGTAATTTTTTGTAGCTGTTACCGGTCCATTTTGGACATCAGGCGAGAAAAGAGGCGATTCCTGGGCATGGTCTACATCAAGAGAGCCCATTTCATTTGTCAATTGGAAGAAAAATAAACCGAGCATTTTTGAAACCTTGAACGAATGTATCGAAATAGACGAAATAGCTCAATGGAGTGATCAAAATTGTGAAAAAAAACGTTATTTTGTTTGTGAAGTACCACAGCTCACACCAAGTGTCATATCGAGTTATTCAGAGCCATCTGGCAGTCAGTGCGCCGCGTCCAGTCCACCGATTGTGAAAGTGTACATCAGCAATAACATCATTACAGAAGAAGGAACCAACACCGTTGCCGAGAAGTTCCTCACCTCAGAAGACGTTCAAGTTTCCTCCAATGGGGGATATCACGTTCAAGTGAAGAATAATATTGATGCATCGCCTCCTGAAAAAGACATCACAAGACATCATTCTTTTCAAATTCCTAAGTATCTCCCACCAGAGTAGGATTTCGATTCAAAATAAGATTCATTCGAGGCAATAATACTTTGAATTTAATTAAACATTCTATATTCAGAGTGACGAGTTTCTGACATTTTATTTTGTAGTGGATCAACATTCTAAACTGTTTTTTCATAAGAGCCTCACATGAAACTTTCTATATATATCATTAGACTCATCCTAATGACATCATATACATATTAAAAAAATCTTATTGAAGTGCACATAGTATAACCAGCCGGACTGGCTGGAATAGAACTGCCAGTATGGAGTAGTCATCAGGGAGTCTCCTCTGTCGGTATCCAATGCTAACCGGTCGATATATGGGGCACTAACGACCCGCCTCGACTCACGGGTGCATTGCTGATACTAAATATGAATTTACCCACAGAAAATGCAATGGCATGGAGAAACAGTGATGAAAAGATAATTTTGTTTCATGGACGCGCTTTTTCCCCCGCGGTTGGTGCGTCAGTTGGAATATTTGAAAATCCTTCCTTATTACATATCTTCAATATAAAATGAACCTCCATACAAAATTTCAGCGTTCGAAAATATACCGGTATGGAGAAATAGTGATGAAAAGGTAACTTCATGTTATGAATGCACCTTTTCCCCCGCGACAGGTGCTCCAGTTGGAATATTTAAAAATACTTTCTTTTTTCATATCTATAATATAAAACAAACCTTCATACAAGATTTAAGCCTCCGATAATATAGCGGTACAAAAACAGTGATGATTAGGTAATTTTGATCTTTAACGCGCCTTTTCTGTCCCCAGTGGGGGCTGCTCAGTTGGAATATCCAAAAATATTTTCTTATTGCACATCTACAACATGAAACGAACCTACATACAAAATTTCAGCCTGCGAAAATATGGCGTTACTGAGAAGCAGTGACGAAAAGGTAATTTTCATATGTAAAAGCACCCCTTCAACCCCCTTTGGGACCGCAACAGTTGGAAGCTGCACATCTAAGACCTAAATAGCACCTTCATACCAAATTTCAGTTTTCTAGGTCTTACTAGTACGGAGAAACAGAGAATTACCGGTGAGGTGGGATTTTTAGCGAATCACTTCTTCTCTATCTGTTTCAGATATTAAAAAAACATTGTTCTCTCATCAGTGCTAGATGATGACACCTTGATATAATATACAATAAAAATATCCATCAAAATGGTTACATTAGATCGGTATGCAGCATTTGACGCGTAACCTTCCAGACCGGTTGTCGTGATATTTTGCCGTCTTGGCCGGGCCGGACCGGACCGGGCCCGTGCAAACAATTTCAGTGTTTCACAAGCCCAATATTTATTCATTCTACAATTGCAGAAGGTAGTAATTTTCTGCATGGGATGTTGGGAAGTCATAGTTTGCTACCACAGAGTACGAACGTTTTTTAAGAATATGCTAAGCAATGTTCCAACCCTCAAATGTTTGTAATCTTCAATTATCACTTCATCATTTGAGAGTCTACAAAATTCTTTGAAAAGAATGATAATGAATTGATTTTTCCACCAAAAACATACTTTCAAGTTCTTAGTAGAGAAATGAATTCGGAAACAATAACTGAGTACAAACGGAAGAAGAAAGCATAAAATCTACAAATGGAGCCAAAGCCATTGTTTTGAACAACTCCGTCTCGTCTTGGGTTATACATGCTTCCTTTGCATTCGCCTCCTTTATCAAAAGTATCCATGAGCTGAATAGATATCATACTGTCAGTGAGTTTCTCAAATTGCTCTTCAAATGTCTAAGTATTCAATAGTCAATAGTCTAACGTATTTTTTCGATATGATCATTCATTTTTTTGTAGTTCTCCACAAGTCGCCGCTCTCCTTAATAACCAAAAGATCTCTAGGAAACTGACTGTGAGACCACTGAATTGTCTTTCCATTCTCAAATTATTTCATCATCATCATCGATATGGTTCCGACATTGAATAACAGCGAGTAACAATTTCTTGTACATCTAATGTAATGTGATTCATATTGTACCACAACGCTAATAACCTTTGTAGTTGATGCGGTTATATTAATTGAACAAAAAATCTTTGCTATACTTTCTACTGAACATTATGTTTTCCTTTCTTATTAGTTAGTGGGCTATGCTTGAAGACTGGTAGTCAACAAATCTAAAGAAAATGAACTTTAAACGTTCAGGCCAGTCTCCATATACCTACACAGTAGATTTAATGGACTGACGCCTATCGGAAAACAATTACTCCCCTGGCTAATACCACGAAGGGCGTTGGATTATATTCGACAGGCGTCAGTGCAGGAATTTTCACAGAAAATTTTCTGCATATGCAATTGGCAATACAACTGAAAGAGTCGACCCTCAATTTTGAAAAGGGCACACTTGCAGACCGGTTTCGGGCTGCACTGACGCCTGTGGGATATAATCCAACGCCCTTCGTAGTATTAGCCAGGGGAGTAGTTGTTTTCTGATAGGCGTCAGTCCATTAAACTTCCTTTGTAGGTATATGGAGACTGGCGTTTTAAGTTCATTTGCTTTAGATTTGAACATTATGTGGTTGACAATGATATTATTCTCAGTTATTCTATTTGTCTTACTGACAGATTGATTTATTTCCGTCTAACAATAGGCGCTCTTTCCGATATTACACAAGAAACATGTATACATAAAATTACCCCAAGTTGAGGAAATAATCCTATTTTTAGCTTCCAACTTTTTCATTCATAAATACATAACTGGATGACATGACAAAATTAAAATATATTCCAATTACACAACAGATTACTTCATTTGGGGGAAAATACAAAAATAAAAATAAACGACAGTTTACAATAAACTAAGGGCGATATAAAAAAAGAAAAATATCAAAATGAAAAAAAGACAGCATAAATACTATCTAGTTACTAGTAAACTCAATGTTTGATAAATTATTATGCAATTTATCGAAGTTATCAGAATCGGAGCACTAAACATGGAAATTACTGCACATTAACATTATACATGAGTTTCCGTCTATATTAGTTCTCCGGCAAGGCAAGTTAAATATGGATTGTTTTCGAAGACATTGAAAACGTACAATTTGGCTAGAATGTGCGACTCATATATAAAACCATGAACCATTTTATACAAAAATATGATGCTTTGAGAAATTTTTCTGTGAGCTAGGACAGGTAAGTTGAATCTTTGTAGTAAAAGATCAATTCCTCCAACCACCAGCTTTGAANAAAAAGACAAAAAATGATATGTTGATGTTTTTGGATTGAAGGCCCTGCTAAAATATTTAGCTTATCCATCAACAATATCCTGAAGTTCATCGTACTGAGAATCAGCTAAACGCCTCCTACTTGGAATTCTGCTTGTACCTCTCTTACTCTGGATGAAATTCCAAAAACCAATACAACATTGAATATATCTCCTAACACGATGAAAATGTTAATAATATATAGATATACAGAAAAGTGATGATTCTTTATTTCAATGTTATAAATTATTTCAAACATGCACCATTCTGGAAATTCTAGTTTGTTGGTTATGAGGCGAAGAACGAACTGGTCTAAAATCGAATACAGATTATAAAAAAAATGCATTCACCATATCATTCACATCATCTGAATTATGTACAGAATTTAAAATTCACAATTAAAAATTTTGCTTTCCCGAAATTATAGGGTTTGCTCAAGTCAGGTCGTTTGGACGAAAAACGAAGGATGGTGGTTGTCCTCCTTGACTAGTGGGAAAAGTTCCCCATTAACATGTATTGATATATCGCTTATTGCTAGGTCTAACAAACGACCGTGACTATTCAAACAGGGCATTGGTGACTTTTTTTTACTGACTGAAATTTTGAATCCACCAAGAATGGCAATGTTTTCTTGACCGAATAAATAAATTCCAAAATATTCCAAAAATAAACTGGAATCATCAACCTGATCATCATAAATAATTTGGTACATACATTGTCTATATCTGGAATATCGATGAAAGTAACAAAACAAAAACANAATGACGCGAAATCCTTTGTACTAAAAGTTTTAATGTGAATATAATTGGCTCCAGAAAAATATAAAGTTCATTTAAGAAGTTAGCTGTAAAACTTATACTGCAATTAGATGATTTTATAATCCACTTCTCAATTTCGCCGTTGGGATCTGTCATAGTCTCGAAAGAGGTACTACGAGGTCTGCTCCAAAAATAGGTGAATGTTCAAAGTTCGGGGGGTACATATATTTGATTAGTGATTTTTTTATGTTGGTACACCCGATACGAACACATCTTCACAGTCTGTTTAGTATGTACAGTTTGTTGGTGAGAGGCATAAAAGTGTTTTGTATGTTCAGCGATTTTCTGCATTCGAAAACATAGATCAAGGAATTTGCATAAAGTTTGGAGTGAAAAATTGAATTAAGAAACTTTTCACAGAATGTCGGGAAGATGTAGATGACGACGCTCGCCCTGGACGCACCAGCACATCAACAACTGATGAAAATGTTGAAAAAGTGAAGAAAATTGTTATGGAGAATCGTCGAATCACTACTAGAGAAGTTGTTGAGATTGTCGGCACTTCGGCTGGCTCATGCCATGCAATATTGTCGAAAATTTTGAGCATGAAGCGTGTGGCAGCGAAATTCTCTTCAAATCTGCTGAATTTTGACCACAAAAAAATCGTTTGTTTTCTTCCTTCTGAATGAATGAATCATTCGGATGAAATACTTTTTCATTCAGATTGCCACAAAATCAAGATCACTTGATTCAACACTCTACAATTTTCGCCTAGACGTACATTGAAGCGAAAGGTTGGAAGACCTAATCATCGGAATAAGTTATGTGATACAATTCTAGGAGCGTAACAATAATCAACTCACACACAAAACAAACACTGCTCCCAAACACCAAAATGACCCCTGGACACCCCCCAAGTTGGGGTTTTCAGGGGTTGAAATATACTTAATCTTTTGAAGATGATAACTATCACATTCATGAGATGTTGTTTATGGTTCGAAAGGTAATTGAATATTCCAAGGTTTTTTTTTCGTTTCCCTTTCTCATTTTGTATAACTCCACCAGCAACTGAAGGCCCTTTCTATAAAAAAACGTAAGATCATTACC